CCGATTGTTTAAACCTAGCCAGCTAGCCTCTTGTCGAATTCTCAAGTAAAAGTAGCGTGGCATCAGTCCCAAGGATCGCAAAGACTGTAAAACAAAAATCTCAAACTAAAAAAGAAACTATTTTTTTATCAAATATCAAAAACTATATGCGCAATTATTGACGTACCATTATAATTTGAAATGTAGAAGACAAGTTCGGAGAAAACTAAGCCTTTCTTTTCAGAGTGGAATAAAAGAACCTCGCAACCTGTAACTCAGCTTACGTACGAACGCATACAAGTAGTATAACTGTAGGAAGATCCCTTGGAATCATCCTTTTTTTCTATCATTTTCGCCACAAAACGCAACCATGAGCAAACTCAAAAAAGTCGCCCTGCATGCAAGAGAAGCTGCCACTTGCTGCAAACCCCGATTGTGCTTGCAACGGCTGCCTTTTTCTTGCTCACTATGCTCTCCAAATTGCTACACCTACTCAATGCCATTGACATGCTGCAGGCATGGCAAGGAACTGTATAATTTTCAGCTATGCTGATAGCACTGTGGAGAATATTGATACCGGGTACTCATACAACCTTTATATTCGACTAGAGATAGGAGGTGGACCGGATCAATGTATTATGTAATAGAGTAGTACTCGATCGCAATGTTGTCTTGTGTACTATGACAGAACATAGAGCCTCGATCGGATATTATTATGTAATAGATTAGAAAACTGATATCACTACAAGATAATTGAGCTATTGCCACCAAATTATTACAACAAAAAATATTTCGTAGCAATATATTGTACTATTGCAATGATAATTTTTCTGTGGCAAATAATTATATTTTATTGCAATGATCTACAATCGTTGTTTTATTTAGTACTTTTGTTGCAATAGAAAATGAGATATCGCCACAAAAATCTTGCTGTTGCAAAAAACATGTTCTATAGCCACAATTTTAATTTTTGTGGCAATTTACATAATACATGGTACTTTTTACTTTTTTTTTTGCCACGATCAACAAATTCGTTGCAATAAAAAAATTGTCATCTCATAATTGAACTTAATTTTTTCATATGGATACGGATTGAGACAAATTTTATATGGAAATTGTAGCTCTCGACGAGATCTATAATTTTATAGTTGATAACTTTTTTATTTGAAATCTTTTAGATATTCAAATCTTAGTTAGGTAGGCTCAAATGGAACGATATGCATATTCCAACAGAATTGATGCGTAGATGAGTTGGTAAAGGAGATCATGCGTGAAGCATAAGTCTTGGGTTCGAATCCTAGCCAAGACATGGTATAAAGAAATAAATATAAATAGATAGGACGATAGATTAATATTTGAACTTTTAATTTGGTATGTAAAACTAATGCCACATATGGAGTGGTGGCAATAATTTTTATTACAACGATGTCAAGTGTTGCAATATGATTTTTTGCCATATCCATTCCGTGGCAACATCTAAATTTATTACCACTAAATAAAAATCGTTGAAATAACCTATTACCACGCTATTTATTACCACGGCTAGCAATGATTTTAAAATTGTGGCAACATGTATTTATTGCTACAATTTTAGTATTGATGCCACGATTTTTTTCGTGGCAACAAATGATTTTTCTAGTAGTGTATCATGTACGGCTAGATTTTTCTCTCTATAATTCTGCCCTCCAACCTATATAAGGTGCATATGAAGCCCTCCAAAAGCATAGCAAGATAAGCCGTAACATGATCGTCAAATCAATATAACACCCAAAGGATACAATCCTTAAATAAGAGTAGGGTCCTAACTCTTGTTAATAGGGTTTGAAACTGTCTAAACCCTTTCTCCCCATGCATCCATCTACTTTAGATCTCGTGCGTTACCCCCTTTATTATTACTGATTTCCAGAATCGATATGCACTAATTTTGTTCTCACTCCTCAAATTTCAATAAAATAGATTATATCGAATTGTAAAAATATTTGACCAACACAGATATAACAAAATCCATGATCTTTAAAAATATTGAATCCACAGTTGATCTATACAGCAAAAAGCAAAATAGACAAATCCAGCGCACTACAAAAGGTATTGAAATGCATGTGTTTTAAGTGACAATTGAAAAATATATGATTTATCAAAAAATAGCAATATCTACAACTCAACAAATTAGCAACATCTATAACATCAAATTAATCTATCTATTATATACTAAAAGTCCATTAAACTCTCTACAAACGCTCTAAAACCACCACGTGGCACTCCTACAAACGCTGTCAAGTCGCCACATGGCATAGTCTAATCTCACTGTCGATTTTCACTTAAATTGGTGGATCCGTTATTTTACACTATTAGATTAAATTATTAAATATAATAGCTTCCTCCTCTATGGACGATACAAACGGTACCACTGTTCCCCCTGCGTACGTACGTAAGATTGATAACAAAACAATAGTTTTACCTATTATTGCTGGAAGGAAAGCACGGAGATATAAAAAGACAGTAAAAATACAAACGTCCGTGCTATTGTCGGGGAAAAAAATGACGGTTTCTATAATAGGATTTTTCTACAATATATATATATATATATAAAGATCTTACCTACTGTTGCGGAAGGAAAGCAAAGAGATAAAAAATACAAAGCCAAGAAAAACATACGTCTGTGGTACTATCGGGAAAAAAATGGTGGTCTTTAAAAAATGATTTTTCTACAATATAAAGATAAAATATATTATTTGATAAATATAACTATGTATTTAAACTAAAATCTATAATAAAAATATATAATATCCAATCGTTAAACCATATTATATATTTTTTATTAAAAAAACTTGCGTCCGTGGTATCGTCGGAGAAAAAATTGATGGTCTTTATAATAGGATTTTTTACAATATAATGATCTTACCTACAGTTGACGGAAGGAAAGGAAAGCACGTAGATAAAAAAGACAAAGCCAAAAGAAACATATGTAAGTGGTACCGTCGGGAAAAAAATTAACGGTCCTTAAAATAGTATTTTTCTACTATATAAAGGTAAATTCGATTACTTCGTGATTTTTTTAAATGTGCTAAAATATTCAAGCAACCTAAATGATATTTCATGTATCACCATCTAATTGACTTTAGAAGGTGCTTAATGTAGTTTTAGTAACATGTTGTTCTGGTCTTCTACGCATTCTAGGTATCTCCGTTTTTTTGCATTTACCATTCAAAAGGTGAATCATCTCTATATATGAACATTAATCGTCTTTGAATATATTTTTGTTATACACACACACATGAAGGATTAAATTTGGAGTCCATTTATATTTTACGATATAACAAGACATGGAAATAGGACTAATTAAGCTTGACAAAAAAATGTGATCACCACTACGATGAATCACAAGGCAATCTTCATAGGTGCAATGACCACATCTCAACACGGTGACTAGGAGCCGCATGAAAACCGTATGGCGGAGGAAAAGGAACAATGAGTTTAGCTAGGACTTACTATTGACGTTTTAGATCATGACCATGGTATTTGCATGATATGGGGATCGTTGGTACCAGGGTATATACGAGATTGAAGTAAAAGAGACGGAGATAAGGATTTTTATACAGGTCCGGGCCCCTTCATGGAAGGTAACAACCCTACTCATGTTGGCCGAAGCCAGTGTTGCTCTTATTCATCAGAATCACACAAGTATAATAATTGGGATGGCTTATCTAATCGTCGTCGATTTGGCGGCATGAGCACCAATACGTAGTCGACGACGGGGTAATCTTCCTTCTTGAAGTACTTGCGGAGATCAAAAATAGCGCTATATCCCTCTTGACAGCCTTCGATGGCACCAGATTAGTTATGTCTAGGTTAATCTCTGATGTCGATATTTGGTGGCGTGTATTGGTTTGTTTTGACTTGTCTTGGTTTGTGTCCCCCCTCTCCTTCTAGGGGGTCTTGTATTTATAGCCAAAGATGCCCCCTGTCCAAATAGAACTAGAGAGACCAATATGGATACAATCCGAGTAGTCCTTATAGTGTCCATGTAGAACTCCTTTTGTCCTTCCTTATCTGAAACTCCTTCTATATACGAGGTATGATTCTATATAAGACTTGGCATTATGGTGGGACCGCCGAGCTGAGTCGATTACTATTGGGTATGTGTTATCCATAACTCTGACACTTACGTTTTCACCAACGAGGCCCAAAGCATTCAATGAAAAAGGAAAAAGAAACACCTTGCTTTCAATTTAATAAGCATCTTTGGTCTAGCTCCTTTTTAGATGATGATGATGATAATAGATAATTGCTTATATAAATTAATTAAATACTATAGTAGTATATAGCTTAGAGAAATTATCAATGTGATGCTAACAAAGAATATTTGTTGAGAAAACATACTTTCAAAATATAGCAGAGGCTATCTGATGAATATGATCCATTTTCAAATGCAGCCCAAGATGCATGCCCGCGCGAATGCGCAGGCTACCTTCCTAGTTTTATTAAATGTAACATTGAATATATTTTTAATAATATGTTTGTTTTGTATTGAAATATTACTATATTTTTTTATAAATTTGGTCAAACTTAATAAAGTTTGATTAAGAAAAAACAAACAATTTATAATATGAAACAGAGAGAGTATCATTTATTATGCTTATAAAAGTTAATTATAAAGTAGCCAAGGGAAATAAAAAGATAAACCCAACCGGTTACAGACGGTAATCGGGATGGTTTTAAAATTATAGATTAGAAAACAAATTTGTCATGTAGAAACTGGCAGTAGTAATGAGTTTTACACATGGTCCTTGAAAACCTCGACCACAAGCACTGCTTCAACTGTTTCAACTTCATAGTAATTTTAAGTATAATTATGGGTTTTGTGTCCAAAATTTAATCGTTCAATTTATTTAAAAAATTTATAAAAAAAATTAGAAAAACAATTAAAGTAATAATCATAAAAAGTTTCAAATAAAAAAAAAAGGTCCGTCAAACATTGAACACTGCACTTGAAATGTGCGAGAGGGGGCACGTGAAGCAGCATATCCTCCAACATATTCTCCTCCCAACGCCAACGCCAACGCCACGCCGAGCCTCGCGCCGCTCTTATATTACGGCGCGCCGCGCTCACCTCGCCGGTAGATTGGATATTACAGCAGCCCAACTCCGACCAACTTAATTTCCACCGGCCGTCGAGGAGGAGGAGGCGGCCATGAAGTTCGGGAAGCGGCTGAAGAGGCAGATCGAGGAGAGCCTGCCGGAGTGGCGCGACCATTTCCTCAACTACAAGGAGCTCAAGCGCCGCCTCAACGCCGTCTCCTCCCCCGACCCCGCCGCCGAGGCCCGCTTCCTCGCCCTCCTCCACGCCGAGGTCGACAAGTTCAACGCCTTCTTCCTCGAGCAGGAGGAGGACTTCGTCATCAGGCAGCGGGTACACAATAAATACTTCAATTAATTTGCTCCTCCCTCCTCGCGTCGATCGGTCGGCCATGGAAATGAGTGATATGTGTATGGGTGCAGGAGCTGCAGGAGAGGATCCAGTCGTCGTCGTCGGCGGCGGCGGAGATGGAGGGGCGGGTGCGGAGGGAGGTGGTGGACCTGCACGGGGAGATGGTGCTGCTGCTCAACTACAGCAGCATCAACTACACGGGGCTCGCCAAGATCCTCAAGAAGTACGACAAGCGCACCGGCGGCGTGCTCCGCCTCCCCGTCATCGCCGGCGTCCTCCGCCAGCCCTTCTACGCCACCGACCTCCTCTCCAGCCTCGTCAGGGACTGCGAGGCCATCATGGACGCCGTCTTCCCCTCCCTCCCCTCCCCCTCCGCCGCCGCCGCCGCCGCCGCCCGCGCCGCCGCCGAGCAGGCCATCTTCCGCAACACCGTCGCCGCCCTGCTCACCATGCAGGAGGTCCGCAGCGGCAGCTCCACCTACGGCCACTTCTCCCTCCCGCCGATGACCCCGCTGCCCGACTCCGACTGGCTCATCCAGTCCGTCCAGCCGCCGCCGCCGCCGCCGCCGTCGTCGCCGCTCATCATCCCCACGTAGTCATCTCACGGCAAATGCCACATATTGCGACGAGCTGCAACATTGTCAAATTTTTTTTCTTCTTTTGGCAGCAAATTGAAATCGAAATCGAAAAGAACAGACATGTAATTACAAATCTGTAATGTTGTCTTTCTCTTTTTGTTTTTTTGGTGTGTGTTTTTATCATAGTTTCTCTAACTAATAGGAGTAGTAAATAATGTAACGAATGAGATCAATACCAATGGTTCTTGATGGCCATAACTAAGAAATACTAGTATTAGTACTAGATTGCACATCACAGGTGCTCAATTTTCTCTCTCGTGGATTCACGTGTTTATTATGCTTCCCAGTAGTAGCCTTATAGCAAGACTTTTATTTTTATTTTTTTACTGTCGAAAGAATGATCATAATTTGCTACTGGGTGTATTAACTTTTCACATTTTAAGGATTAGGTGATACTGACCTGTGCATCCGTACTTTAAGCAAAAAAAAGGAAAAGGCTTTACGCCGAATTTGGGTTACATCTTAACAAATTTGTCATGAAATGTACCCCTACAGAAATGGACTTAAAATTTTCAGTGTAAAAGTTTGATTAGACATAAGTAAGGAAAATGTAAAAAAAATCATTACATGTCCCACACTGTTCTGAATCCTAAGATTTCCCGATTACCGCAAGAATTTAAATTTAAATGTGATTTGCCAATGTAATCTAGCTTGTTGCCCTCTTGATCCCTGAACGAGGAAGTACATCAACTGTAAAGGACAGTATGCCTTTGTAAGCAGAATCCACATACTTTCAAAAGAGAAAATTCAAATGTGGCTCTTGACGAGTCAAAGGCCAGCAGCAACAAGAACAGCACACAGCAAGACGGCATACTGACAGATCGATGCAATGCTGAACAGAATCATTGACGTTTATTGTTAAAAAAGTGATTGCACTGTTCCAGATAAGTCAACTCATCATTCAAAACTCTCATCAGTTCTGTGACTAATGCTTGATGACAATTCGAGGTGCAATAACCAATTCGACAGCCAGTGTTTGCCTGGTGAAATTTTATCCAAGGTTTATGAAAAGTTTTGCAGGGTGATTCTTACAAGGGAACGAATATACTGCGGTGAACCGCTGCTCGCACGACATCAGGTTTGAACCGAAGAACAATTATGCAGAAGTAGTAGATTTTTTTAAAAAACTTTTGAAGCATAAGAATTCCGGTCTTCTAAGATACATATATACCGGCGCCTTTTTCGTGTTCTTGTTTGGAAGATGACAAGAATATTCTTTCAGAGCAATGGACTTTGTCAGCAGATGACTGGAAGGTCAAGTTGTTCGTTGGTGCTCTAGAAATGAACCCCGGATATTCCTTCCGAAATGCCAAAACTGCAGCACTGAATGCGAACGGACTCCATAAGATCACATTATGCAAAGATTTAAAGTAGTCCAAGTCTGTTAATGTGGAGAAAGGGACTGATTAGTGTAAACAAATGACCACACAGCCTGTCGGCTGTCGATGAATGAAACTTGGGGAACTAGAAGAAGTCTTCGGTTTTCAGAGACTATTTGGGTGGCTATTGTTTACTCCAGAGAATCAGGCAAGAACTGAAAAAATGATTCTAATTCACGTTGTAAATTTCCCTTTCCATTTCACCTACTTCAAAAAAATTTGAAGAGAAAATGGACATGTTAGAGCTTTCCATACATGAATTTGTGGTCTTTGTCAGTGTGATCAGGTGGTCACATCATTTCAGATATTTGAGCTTTACATTCCTGTGATCAGTTTTCAGGTTGGCAGGTTACTTATATATGTTAATGATGGAGGGCAAGAAGAAGATATTCGGCAACTTGTTTCTGATTGCCTAGCTAGGTTTTAATATTGATCAGAAAATCCTCTTGTGTTCTGAAATTTTAATGAACTCATGGTAATGACTTTTTGGGCGAAACAATGACCCCAAATCTCTAGATTATCACATAAAACTATTTTATGCAACTACCAATCACGTTCCATCAGGATGGCACCACTTTAATTAGTACTAATATAAGTATATATAACTAGCAATCACATAGCCTGGGCATCAACAGGGACAGCAGGCACAGCATATCCCTGTGTTTATTCCGATATGCTAACCTTTTCGCTGCAAATCCCAGCACTCAGACGATGCAAAGGTGATCGATCGTGGCATTAACTTATTATTACCCGTCATCTTATCCTGCTCTCTGCTCCTTTGTAAAAGCAGGCAGATCAATAGAAACACATGCTGCTGCGACGACGTATAGAATCAACTGTTCTTGCTCCACTACTTGTCCAGGTGACCAATCTGCAGGAAGCATTTTTGCCAAAGTTTAAGTGACTAATCTTATCCAAGCACCGTACAAGAAAAACAAACAAAAAACAGGAGGAGAAAGAAGGAAGCAACTCACAACGTAACATCTGAACATTACCACCTGTTCAGATATATGCTATGCTACGTGGTACTACTACTACTAGCTTATATATTTTAGCAGTGGCGATCATGGATTGGGCAGTACTGGTCGAATCCCTGAAGAGCATGAGCATCAGAGCTATGATAAATAGGATATGCGGTTGTTGATGGTAGCGGTGGTGCTTTCATGATTGGAGGCATGAGCCTTTGTTGTTGTTCACCTTTGTTCTTGTACTTTCCATTATTCAGGAGATTTGGCCAAATGCAGGGGATGCAGTTTTGGTTCAAAATTTCGGACCTCTCCTGGGGCACAAAACTATCTCGTTCGAAATTTAATTTTTTTGTGAATTTAGAAGATAAATGTTTAAATTCTCCTGTCTGTCTTTTTTCTCTCCTTTAACTTTAAGACGATATGTGTTTCAGACTTTCAGTATGAACTTTGAACAAAAACTGCTTTGGATCTTTGCAAAATCGTTGCCATCGACACGCTTGGGTAGATGATGCCTGGTTGCTTGATCCCTTCTCCTTTTCTGTTCACTTGTTCAGTATGCTAAACTGCACACTTCTGACTTGGAACATCTGGAAGGTCACCCGATGCTGAAATTGCAGGGCTTATATTTCGTAAAGCCTATATAAGCTAGGTTATTCCTGCTGCCACTTAACATTCGTAGGTAGCATACTCTACCTAAAAATCGATCACTGCAGAGCCCTGAATTCCTGATGATCACATCACTTTTCAGTTATTCTCTCTTATCCTGAGCTCATCGTCGTCGTCATCATCGCTGCACTTTCAGCATTTGCACAAGAGATTCGATCGGTTCTGAGTTGCAGGCAGCTTGAGCACCATGAAGTCCTGTCTCGAAAATATTGGTCGAAAGTGTTAAGTATCCGATACAAAGTGTGCAAGTGGTGTGTTTGTTTAGCACAACGCAACAAATGGAAAATTTTGCTTTTTCCTAACCAAACTTGAACAATCAAGTTAAGTGGTACATGTGATCTCATTCTTCTACATAAATTCTTTATTTGTCCATTAGAATTAAGTTTATCATTTATTTGTCCAATATGCATCAAAAGACCGTTTTAATACATTTTTTTTTCTCTCCGTCCATGTTCTTTTACCACCTTAGCCACATGGCCCATATACTACAACCGCCGTTTCATGTTATAAGTCGTTTTGATTTTTTTTCTAATCAAACTTCTTTAAAATTGACTAAGGCCCCCTTTGATTCAAAGGAAATTCATAGGAATTTTGGAGGATTTTATTCCTATAGGATTTTTTCCTATATGGTCCTTTGAATCAAAGGAATGGATCTTATGGAATCCTATGAAATTCCTATGGATTGCCTAATGCCATGCAAGTTTTGGAGGAATTCTAACATGAGGTAAAACCTCTTGGAAACTTTCCTTTGAGTCTTTATCTCTCCTCTAATTCTTGTGTTTTTTCCTGCGGTCCAATCAAACAACCATTTCTGTGTTTTTCCTGTATTTTGCAATCCTCTGTTTTACACTTACATTCCTATCAAAATCCTGCGTTTTTCCTATTCCTATGTTTTCTCATTCCTGCGATTTAAAGGGGCCCTAAGTTTATAGAAAAATGTAATAGCATTTCCAGCACACAAAAACATGTTATCAAAATATATTCGATGTTAGATTTAATAAAACTAATTTGGCATTTTAGATGTTGCTAAATTTTCTATAGTCAAACCTAAAGAAGTTTGAGTAAAAAAAAGTCAAAGCGACTTATAATATAAAATGGAAGATGTACTATATATTATATTATATTGTTATCTTGTATCCTATCTCATCTAGTTGGGACTGCCCCCATCTGTTCCTCTGTCACCAGGGCATTTGTTCATTGCATCCTCCTTAGGCCCCGTTCGATCTCCCATTTAGGAGAGAGATTTTTGTTGCACGCAAAACGAGAAACCTCATTAGCACATGATTAATTAAATATTAACTATTATAAATTTGAAAAATAGATTTATTTGTTTTTTTAACAACTTCTATAAAAAACTTTTATTTAAAAATGCACCATTTAACCGTTTGAAAAGCATGCTAACGGAAAACGAATAAGTTAAAGTTTGGAAGAATGCCAAGAAGAATGGCGAGGGAGAAGATAACATATGAGGCTAAGATAGACATTTCTCTTGAAAACAATTATGTGAAAATGAAATGAAAGGGACAAAATAAGGAATAAAAGTTGAGAGGAAGCAATAGGAGTAATCGCATTGATCAACTCTTAGAGCATCTTCAGCCAACCCCATATCCCCTCACCTATAGCAAAATTTTACACACCCCTCCAACCTATCTCTCCTATCACACCCTCTGAATCGAGGGAACTTTCCCAGCTCCATCCTCCCTATTTGTTAGGAGTCCAACCCCCTGCCATGTGGCAAAGTTTCATAGAGGCAAACCTTGGTTATGGCCCCCAACTTTGGAAAATTACATTGAAGTCCCTCAGGCCCAGTTCTTTTTCTCTACTCCAAACTAGGGCTGTCAACGAGCCGGGCTCGAGCGAGCTCGTCAGCCTAGGCTCGAGCTGAGCTCGAGCCGAGCCTGTCGGAAAGCTCGAGCTCGACTACCGAGCTTGATTTTTAAGTAAAAAATATATATTTCAAAGGTAATCTTTAAAAAAATAATTAATTTCTAGTTTATCATATTAATAGAAGAGGAAAAAAGAATAAAATAAATATATTATGTCAATATAAGACATACAAATAACATATTTGATCTCCTAATTTATTAAATAACAATAAAAATGATATATTACTAGGCTCGTTAGAAGCTCGAGCTCGGCTCGACAAAGCTTGTGAGCTTAGGGAGAGGCTCGGGCTCAGCTCGTCTGGAGCTCGAGCCGAGCTCGAGCAGCTCGCAAGCCTCGAGCTTTTTTGACAGTCCTATTCCAAACTTCAACTTCCTCATTTTCCGTTAACACGCTTTTTAAATTGTTAAATTGTGCATTTTAGAAAAAACAAATTCTATATAGAAGTTATTTAAAAAAATCAAGTAAATCTATTTTTAATTTTATAATAGTTAATACTTAATTAATCATGTGGTAATGAGTTTTCTCGTTTTGCATGCACTGAAAATTTCCCTCCAAACCATGGAATCGAACGGAGCCTAAGTCTCTATACTCAAGTATTAAAAAAAAGCATAGCAACCCCTACTTTAAATGATACTCTCACATTGGCATCCTCCAATTTATTGTGAAAGCTCCATCACTGTCCCTACCATTAATTACCTCTCCCCGACCATCCTCATGTACTCTCATGAATCGTTTGTGCGTGATAGAGTCGCTGTCATGCCATGTTCCACGCTCACCATGACCTCTACCTAGCGTTACTACTGAAGGATCCTAACCCCTTGACGCCACTACATCAAACCTTATGTGGGCTTTCCAATATCCTGCCTCCATAACTTCCCTCTGCTATCCTAGCTAACACTACAAGGTAACTAGCCTTCTATGATGGCCTACTTTCACTACAAATCATATTCGGTGCACACAAGACTTTATGACAAAATTCATCATCACAGAAGGTGTGTCTGTGATCACCTCCTGTGTCAAAAGGAGGTGTTTATCACAAACTTTTATTATGATATGGCATTTGTCATAGCATTTGTAATGATTTAAACCATCATAAACCAGTTGATGCATGCTGCCACATTTACCAGTTATTACCACGTAATGACTGTTAACGGTCGTTAAGTGCAAACTTTAACCATCACCTCTTAAATAAAATATATCAAATATATTATCAAAACTTAGTGGTAGGAGTTTACTACTAACCACTTCCACTAGTTTTGATAAATATATTTTCAGGGTTACAAATAAGGCATACATTATATCTTTGGGGTCGTGGGATATACGAATACGATATATCCTCAGGTATACATGAAGGTAGCCTCCAAACTAAGGAAAATGATCGATCCACAAGGAAACCGTCTTCCCAAATAGAAGGTGTTAGAGTCCTATTCGGAGGAGATAGGAGATTTGTGATCCCGCATGTTGAAAGGTATCTCCGAGTTCTACTTTGAGGTCAAGATAACCTACGGTATAAATACAGGACCCCTGAGGGGAGTAAGTCATCAAATCTTAACGCAAGACAACCGCCATAAAAGAAGCAATCCGGAGGACTCGAAACCAACTCGCCGGTGGATCTCGTTGAGCTGTTCTTGATAGGGATCTTGTCAGTAATCTCAAGGTTCCAATGTTTTCTATTGTAATCTCTATGATTTTCTCTATAATCCCATATAAACTGGATTAGGACTATTACCTCATGAGGGGCCTGAACCAGTATAATCTTTGTCTCATGTGTACTTGATGTTGTATCGTGTAGATCCTCGTACCAAATACCATCAGAATACGGTCCGCGGGTATCACCCGTCGACATATATGTATGTAGGTTATTTAGGGAATATATCCTATGTACATAAGCTTTCCATGCACACTAATTAGCAAATGTCACGAAGAATTCTAAAAAAAAAATGGACATCTACTCCTTATAGTATCACACATATCTGCAAAGCTTCATATTCAAATTTATTATATTTTAGCCGTAACAAAAAAGTAAAAGACTAACAGTTTTGAGGGTAAAAATCTGTTAGGATTTTGTCTTTTTTTTGTTAAGGCTAAAATATAATGAATTTGAATATAAGATTTCACACATTATTTAAGGAGAAAACCCGACATACGACTAAAATGAACCTCCAACCAATCATGCACGAGTACAAGGATTGGGAGGGGGGGTGCACAAGTTAGTCAAAACCGACTTAAAATGGGACCAACTCGTCCTAATCTCCATAACGACCCACCAGTCAGTCTTCTGGCTAAACGATAGGCCAGGAGGTAGGGCCCAGGGGTCGCCCGAACCTCCATTGGCGCCTCTGATCCTGGCCTTCCATGTGGACGTCCCTGATAGTTCCCCAATGACGGTCAAGGGCGCACTGACCTCCACAACCGCCATACAACCGTCATTTCAAGATATAAAACGAGGAGGCCTTCACACTTCACAACGCATAACTTTGAGCTCAAGTAGAGTACAACACACAACTTGATAAGGTGGTCTTAGTCCCACGCCCGTCATCGCCATCTTCGCGCCCGCTGCTCTAGCGGTGGGTGCGGGTGGCAGCGTGGTTGGGGAAGAGAGAAGGAAGAAGACAGAAAAAGGGAGGAGATGGATGGAAAATATGATGGAAGTGGTACGGTCCCAATTTTGTAGAATTCAAGTGGCACGACTACGAATAGACGAATTGTAATGGAATTTATCTAAATATGTATATTTGTAATGGCACGGGTCCAATTTACCCTAGTTTTTACGTGTATGTATATAGTTTATATGTGTACGTATATAGATGGCACCTGCATATATAAACTTTGTATGTATAAAATTTTATATATACGTGTATAAACTTTATATGTATAAATTTAAAACGAATTGAAAAATTACTTGAGGAGCAGGGCCAATCTGAAAAGGAAAACAAGCACACATGCCTCATACCCCATGTTTTTTTCTCAAGTAAATTTTTAATTCTTGGGTTTAATATTTGAAGAGTTATTATACCAGGTATTGTGGTTGAGGGATACGAATTAGATGCGACGTATATTTTGAGGGAGTTTTGTTGGACTTTTTCCATCATACACGAATCAGATTCAGTTCACTAGTTAAGGGAGTCAAAGTGGACTTGTTCCTGACTTCTTCCCGTAGTGGATTCAGACCCGGGCTTCTGAAAGCCCATACAGACAACAGCCCAGCATAATTTAGCCCCAGTCCTCGAGTGACGCCCTAACTAAACCCTACTTTACTACTAGTCGTCGATCTCCTCGCGACTTTGCCCGCCGCCGCCGCCGCCGCTCTCCATCCCGCGAGAAGCTCGTCGCCGGCGTCCCGCTGCATCCATCCTCTCCGGCGGTGAGCGCCCGCACGCGTGCACATCCTCTCTCTCATCCCTCTCGTTGTACCCAACACCCCCTATTTTTTGTTTTTTTTTTCCCTCGAATTTGCCTTAAACCTTAGCTTCTCTCCTAGATCTGGAAGCGTTCCTCTGTGCCTTGTATGTGAACCTTAGCGAGCTAACCTCTCTCGGCAGTCTTGTCTGCTAGCAGTCCGATCTTCTTCGTCATCGATAGGTTTTGATGCTGTCGCGTGCGCTTCTCGATTTCGATTTCTCCATGCCTGTGACTTTGTATCGAAATCCTTGTGTTGCGGATAGGATACTCGTTCTTGGATGATAATCCTTGTAGCTAGATTCGGTGCCGATGTTGCTGGGTTGGGGATTTCAATTCGTAGCTTGTAGGGTTGATGGGTTTCATTCTTGTTCTCATGATTTGTTCAGGTAAAAATGACGCCTCATGTGAATTTGTGTGTGTAAGTACCATTGCACTTCACCTCTGCTTACAATGTCAATGGAGCTCTATATGAAATATAGGTATGATTAGATCTGTATTGATAGCACAACGTCCTGGTTACTTGTTAGTGATTCGATGGTTGGTTTTTTAGACACCATTTTTTGCTTGTTGGTCAGTGAGATGTTTGTTTGATGCTATCTTTGCTGCATGAATTATCGTTAGGTCTTTCTTGCAACTTTCTGTCAATTTATTTTCGAACCCATATGCATATAGATCACCTGATACATTTTGTTGTGACCAGATGGCGATTACTTTGTCCAATGTCAACTCTGAGGCAGGCCTCCAGAAGCTTGATGAGTACCTCCTTACTCGCAGCTACATCAGTGGGTAGGAGATATTGTCATACATGTCATCTCCTTTGTTAAATGTGTCACATTGTTCTTACGCTCTATTAAACCAAACCTTTTCTCCTCAGGTACCAGGCTTCAAAGGATGACATGACTGTTTTCACCTCACTTCCTTCTGCTCCCGCAGCAAGCTATGTCAATGTCACAAGGTGGTATGATCACATCAGTGCTCTCCTAAGATCCAGGTGCGTGCTTGAAAGAACATTTGTGTGTACCACTGCATTGCTTTCTAGTTGTATTATCCCATGGAGCTAATGTGAGTCTGATCAACCTTGCAGTGGAGTTACCGCAGAGGGTGAAGGTGTGAAGGTTGAGTCAACTGCTTGTTCTGTGTCTCCAACTGCTGACCAAAAGGTTAAAAATCTGCCACACTTTTTTCAGGGAAAAATTGGCTTTGTAGTTGCTTGTTAAGGGGCAAGAGTTAATGCGGTGGTATGAAACTTATGCTTGATGATGGATGCCTGCATGATTGAAATATCAGTCGTATCCAATTTGTGTGACATGTTTTGTATCACACTGAAGAAAGTTTAAATATTGCTATCTTGAATGTGCTAAGTATAAGATTTAATACCAGGCACCAGCAGCTGATGAAGAAGATGATGACGATGTTGATCTGTTTGGTGAGGAGACTGAAGAGGAGAAGAAAGCAGCAGAAGAACGGGCCGCAGCTGTCAAGGCTTCTGGAAAGAAGAAAGAATGTATGTATTTCATTGATTTATGGGGTCCCTGCCCATTGCTGCATTGAGGCACTTACTTTTAGGTAGTGACAAATGGTTGAAGGTGATTAAAAGAGGAGGGTTAAGGCCTTGGGCTTATTAATTCCCAGTTAGTTTTTTGAAAAACTCATAAAATTGGCTGTAATAATTTAAGAAAGTTTATAGCATTCAAATCTTCTTCAGCTGCACATTTGCTTAGTTGTTTTTAGAGTAAAATTCTGAAGTTACATAATAAATACTCCCTCCGTTCCAAAATATAAGCATTTCTAGGACTCAATTTTTTTTACCATGATATAAGCGTTTCTGGGGCACTGATTCCAATGCAAGGGAATCTGTACATTTTCAGCTAATGACATGCTTGGGAAGGGAATTTAAGCAATTCAAAAAAATTCAAATTTGACCACTGAAGTGACTAAAAGAGAATTTTTTTCCCTATAACTTAGCTTTTGCTAAGGAACATAGAAATGCTTATATTTTGAAACGGAGGTTACTCATTGTTATCTCTATCACTATCATGCTTGGTGAATTTCACTCTCATTCAGCTGCATTTATGCTATTAGCCCCAAAATTTAATATTGAGGCAATGCTATATGATATATAAAAAATATTGCCAAAAATCTATTACTAACTTATCCTTTATTTTAGCTGGGAAATCATCGGTTCTGCTAGATGTAAAGCCATGGGATGACGAAACAGACATGGCAAAGCTTGAGGAAGCTGTGAGGAATGTGAAGATGGAGGGCCTGCTCTGGGGTGCATGTATGTGACTCTATTCTTCAATTTTATTCTGCTAATAAATCCAGTACTAATATGTGCTCTTATGGTTTAATAGTTCATTTTCTAACATAAAATCATTTTTGCAGCCAAACTTGTACCAGTTGGATATGGCATCAAGAAGTTGCAAATTATGATGACCATTGTGGACGATCTTGTTTCTGTGGACAGTCTCATTGAGGATTATTTTTACACGGAACCAGCTAATGAGTTTATTCAGAGTTGTGACATTGTTGCTTTCAACAAAATCTGTAAGTTCCTTGGCAAGTTTGGTGCTTTTAGTTTGGATTTCCAAATAACTGAAACTAATGGTTTGATTGAATATGCAAAACTCTAATTAGTGTAATAAAATTCTTGGACCTATGTGCGTACGAGTCTTTAGAGCAACCAGTGCTGGTGCCAACTAAAATAAACTGCCATATGTATGACCTAGATTCGGATTCAAGATGTAAGCAGGGTTAAATTGTCCTTAAAAGTCACTGGAAATGGCTCACAACTGATTTTTGAATAAACCTTGATAGCTGTAATTGGCTGGAAATCAATGTGTACCTATCCTTTGCTTTTTCTCCAAAAGTACTTGTGCACATCAGCATCAGTCATCTAAAACTTCGTTAAATAACCTCAAGTTGCCATGAATCATTCTAGTCAGCGATCTATGGGACTTACAACGTATGCCTGAATTAATGATCTCTTGTCCAATTATATACTCCCTCCTTCCCTAAATGTTTGACACCGTTGACTTTTTTAAATATGTTTGACCGTTCGTCTTATTCAAAAAATTTTGTAAAATGTGTAAAACTATATGTATACATAAAAGTATATTTAACAATAAATCAAATGATAGAAAAAGAATTAATAATTACTTAAATTTTTTGAATAAGACGAACGGTCAAACATTTTTTAAAAAGTCAACGGCGTCAAACATTTTGGGATGGAAGGAGTAGTAGTCTTATGGTTTCCTGAGTGTTGATCTGATATGCTGCAATGGTGGCTGTTATGTCACTTACTTTCTTCAAAGTTGATTTGGTTTATTATCAGATTCTTTACCCTACCAGAAAAACCTGACTGATATTTACCTCTAAGTATTTATTCCTGGTTTTTGTGAGCTGATAGCTGTATATATTTTTGTTGCAGAAAATGGAGTCTTGTCAGAGGCAGCCTTACTAAAAGAGGAATGCTATATGCTCATCATCAGAATTTCCCAATGGTTTATGTTTCGTCTATGGACCTTGAGTGTACTGCGAACCAGCGTTTGGTATTATCATGAGATTTAAATCTTGGTTGGACTTGTTTTGGCCAGTTGCCCCCTGTTGGTTTGTACCTATTGATTTTGGAGGTCTTTGTCACATGCCCGTTCAGTCGTTCTACACAAGTAGTTGCCCTTTGCATGATCTGGTATAACAGCTGCACAACTGTTCTCGGCTGATGTACGATAATATTGTCTATATCGTACCTGGTACACCGAAATAGTGGGATATTTAACTATTTTCTACTTTCAAGGTGTGGCATTTAAAAAATTGTTACTCAGTTTATGACATGTGGGTATTCGTACGGCTATGATTTATGGGTTCAGTAACAAATCGTTAAATGTCACATCAATGAGTGGAAAATAGTTAAATATCTCTGAAATAGCGGGGGCAGGCGCAAAGGGTGTCTACTCAAGGAGCAAAATGCAGCTGCACCCAAAGAAAAGTGAGAACTAGTTTCTGAGAAATCTATAGCTATAGCTTCTCAATTTGAATAAAAAGTTTTACTGATTGGAGAAACTTTTGATTCTATGAGGAGGTATAGCTGCCAAAAACTCTCTTAAAGTGCTCATGGTACTTGCACTTTGACACCAAACGTTAAGCACACCATACAGTTATTTAGATGAGTATTTTGGTTTACTTGGCTTGCCACATTTTTTGCTTTACCTGGCATAGATTCAAAGCCAAACCTCGTCTAAGGTGTGACTTGCCATTGCGAATTGTTTCACACTTGTTCAAAGGTTTCGAAAAAAATGTGGCAATATATGGGTGTTATCTGAACATGCACTTATTATCCTCAACTGTTTTGTTGAGACAAATCACCCACAGTACAGCACTTGCTAGTTTGCACTCTATAGCAGACTCATGCAAGAGTGTGCCTCTACTGTACTGTGGATGATTTTGTCTCAAAAAAACGATATTTTCAGGATCATAGTCGTGCTGTCGGTCGTGCTGCATCATCGATCGAGCTATCGTTCCTGTGTATGATATTCATTTCAAAATGCTCTGTGCCAAATAAAACTAGACAGAGAGATAAACAGTGTCGAGGTTTAGTTGTTTTAACGTGAACCTTCAACTAAGTATTGTTGAAATTAATCAGTCACCTTTGTATAGTAGAATCATAATTTGCAAGAAACGGTCATTATCAACATAGATAACTACAAGCTATTTTTGTTTGGTATCAAAACTTGCCAACTTCCTCCGAAAAATAATACTCCTTTATTCCTTGAATGTTTGACGCCGTTGGCTTTTTTAAACATGTTTGACCGTTCGTCTTATTCAAAAACTTTTGTGAAATATGTAAAACTATATGTATACATAAAAATATATTTAACAATGAATCAAATGATAAGAAAAGAATTAGTAACTACTTAAATTTTTTGAATAAAACGAACAGTCAAACATGTTTAAAAAAATCAACAGCATCAAACATTTAGGGATGGAGGGAGTAACAACTTGCCAACTTTATCAAGATTTTACCAAAGTTGGGGTTCTGGCCTACGGTTGATTATAGGTGGTAACGTCTTATTAGCGATAAAAATTAATTTGTGGATAAAACTTTTACGTACATATCCTTAGCATTTATGAGCCATCACTGAAAAATAAACTATATGGAGAAAAAAAAAATCAAAATCAACTTCGAAATAAATTTTAACATTTAAATTTTGCTAGCGACTTGCAAGTCATATGCCAAACGATGAGACCTGCTTTCTTGTAATTACTTTGTTAGTAATAAACCAAACAACGCTAAATCTACATTACCAAAATCTTGATAATAATCCAAACACACATATAAAATTTGGTGATACCAAAACTTGCAAAGAATATCAAATTTTGGTAAAATATCACCCAAGCCGGCATCATGAATGGCGAATATTTGGCCACGATGCGGCAGCGTTGCATCGCCATTTGGCAATGGCCTCCAGAAACCTTTGCTTTGGTTGCACTTCTCTGCCAAATTTTTTTTTTAACCCAAGAGAGGCAGAGAAGTGCACGAACATTCAGAAATGTGCCGGTCAGTTGCTTCCGATGCAACGCCCAATTGCACATTTTGCAGCAGGTTGGTTTTTCCTGTTTTGGCTATATATACTTGTCCCAAGTACCAATGGTACGGTATATTCTCGTAAAGTTTGTCCAACATGCAACTTCAGCAAAGACCAAGGCCCACATGATTTTTGAATCATATATATACGGCAACTTCCATTTTTAGATGGCATAAAAAATATGTTTTCACCTCAGAAACTCAGGTATATATATACATTCACATTCGAAGTGTGCAAAATGTAACTCAAAATTTTTGGGAGGTCTCATGTGCAACCCCAATTTCTGCTTGGTACTTGACCAGTGCTTTCTGTTAATGCATTTCTGCAAAAAGAACTCAAGTGGGCAGAGTTGTCATCTAGGAGATCTCACCATTCTTTCTCCATTCTGATTAATTTTTTACCAGGTATCTGCAGGGGAAAAACAAGTAAACTGTCAACATTGTCTTATGGTCAAATAAATATTTTTTTTTTGCAACAACGAAAATCAAGATGTATCTGGCATTCTGGCCTAGTTAGCCATAGCTCTTACCTATACATCACACCAGCTTGCTCCTGCTGTTTCAATTGTCACACTCACACACCCCTTTCATATCTCAAGAACAATATCTGCAAGAAACAAGAGGATCCCCATTGAGTAATGAAAAGTTTGTGAGTGCAAACTCAAGTTCATCAGACCTAGTGTGCTACTACTACTTACATTCAGAATCTGTCCTGTCCCATTTACAACTTTCTTCCCCCTTGTTCTCCTCCTCCTCCTCTTCTTCTTCTTCGCCGCAACGAGGACGACGGCGGCGACAAAGGCGATGGTCATCACCATGTGCATTGTTACCCTCCAAGAAGTATGTCCTCGACGCCGGTGAATTGCTCGGCCGGGCAGCGATCTTCTTGCCGAGCACCGTTCGGAGAAACTGTCATCCATGGAACAGGGTTGACAGAATGTTCAGAGACATGGGCCTTGCATGGTGAGAGTAGGGTGAAAACGGTAACGGAAATTCCCGGCTGACCGGCGTTCGTTTCCGACTTTCTATCGGCCGAGCCATACGAAAATGGTAATCGACCGAAAAAAATATGAAAATGGTAAAAAATATGGAAATGGAAACGGAAATGGTTTTGTTGTTATACCGATCGTTTCCGTATTTACCATATTCTTATGGAAATTACCGTTTCTTATAATATGGTAATTACCGTATTTCTAAATATGTTGATATTTGTAGGGCATGTCTCTACTTTACCCACAGCTTAGAAGATTGATTGACTCTTCAATCAAATCCCTAACTTGAGTGCATGGCTAAAATGGAGTTAATTTATAATTTATATAGTATAGCTTGAACTTATTTGCACGTATAACATACTTATGTAAAATTAAATATATGTTCTCTATAGTTTAATGTTTCCGTATTTGTTACCGGTTTCTGATCTGTACCGACATGTTTCCGGCTGTATTATTCTGTTTCCGGTTTTCCGATATTTCTGATATCGTTTTCGTTTCTGACTTTACGGTTTTCGATTTTATTTCCGAGAAAAACATAATTATGGAAATGGTTGAGACTGCTTTCCGACTGTTTTCATCGCTAGGTGAGACTGATGAATTGATTGCATTTTCGCTGTGTGTGAAATTATACCTTCTCCATTGATGATTCCGTCGGGTCCTTCAAGCTCGGAGCCGGCGCGAAGCCGCCATGGCAGACGAACATCTTCTTGAGAAGGAACTTGAATGACTTGTTCTTGATGTCGCCGCCGCTGGTGGTGGTGTTTCTGGTGTTGCCGTCGACGAGAATGTCCTTGGCCTTGGTGAGTATCATCTTGGTGCCCGGCGAGAGGCCGACGGCGGCGCCTCCGCCGCCGTGATCGCGCTGTGCTCTCCTGTCCACCTCGAGGCTGGAAGGGCAGTTGAGGAACATGTCGAGCGGCAGGCCACTGTCCGCGCCGCCGCCGCCGCAGCAGGTGGCGGTGGCGGCGGCGGTGGCGACGGCCTCGGAATACTTCTTGGACCTGGCGCGCAGGAGGAGCCTCGCCAGCGCGTCCTGGAGCTTCCTCACCTCCTCGACGCTGAACTCCGGCAGGTCCTCCTCCTCCTCCCCCTGCTCCGGCAACTCGTCGTTGCCCAACGTGCCGATGGAGAAGAGATGAGTCGCCGGAGTCGGCCATTGATCGCCGGCGAGATCGTCAGGAACAACCTGCTGATGCTTCCTCTCCTTGCCTGCCGCAACGACCGCCGCGACCACCGAAGGATTGCCGTTGCCGGCGGCGAGCCCTCTGCTCTCCGCCGCCGCCGACGTCCTCCCACCCAGCCTCCCCTGCACCCAGCTGACGATCTGCGGCGCAGACGAAGGCGAAACAGAATTGTAAATGATCTACTACATTGTGCCACACAAACATTGAAGAATATCACATGGTCTTAGCTTGGACTTGCAGAGACAAAGATCACACTTGCTTACCCCCATGAGTGACGATGAACTGATGTGTCTCGCTCCAAGAAACCGTGAGCAATCAATGCCGCTGCGCTGCAAAATCGAACAGAAAACGATGCAGCAGGAGTGGCCAAATGGGCAGAGGTGAATCAAGCTTGGATTTCAGGAGTAGTGAGCAGCAGTGACAAGTGTGAAGTGATGAGCCCTGTTGGTACTTGGTGGGTTGGGTATAGTCGGGTCCCCTCCTCCTCTCCCCTAGCATTGCAAGGGGGCGTTGGTTATATAGCTCAACAAGGGCACTTGCATGCTTCACCTTGTACTGTGGCCAAATTGCACTACACCCAGTAGGGGCATTGGCACATTTGATGCAATGTATGCAGATGTGGTATGTTCCATGTTGTTCAAACCCACGGACTGACGGTCTGCGACTAGGGATAATCCTGTGAGTCAGATCAATCTTCAAGTTGCCACCTTGCCAATGGGCAATGGCCTCGTGCCGATGAAGAGCTTGTCTGAGGGGTGTTTCTCGCTTGTTTAGGGAGTATTTGGCAGTTCACTGACTAGGATCGGAGGAATATCCGGTGAAAACTAGAGGTTCTGTCTGTTTGGTATAGCTTCCGATCCAAGATTTCTAGGAACTTAGTCATTTCTAGCACTACAAGGCCTGGTTTAGTTCCTTTTTTTTTTTCCAAAAACGTTACATCGAATCTTTGGAATTAGTCTATGATTAGCCATTAGTGCTATAGTAATCCACATGTGCTAATGACGGTTTAATTAGGCTCAAAAGATTCGTCTCGTAGTTTCCAAGCGAGTTATGAAATTAGTTTTTTCATTCATGTCTGGAAATCTCTTCCGACATCCGGTCAACACATCCAATGTGACACTCAAAAATTTTCTTTTCGTGAACTAAACACACCCTGAATTCAAGGATTTGAATTCTACAAATAATATTTAAATGAGTTATTTTGTTTCTACTTTAGATAAATTAGATAAAATATAAAATTTTAATTAATATAACTTTTCATACAAACTTAAAATTCGGCATCGATCTATATATAGACATGTATCAAATAGGCCCACAGTGAAAACCTGACCCTAAAAATTCTATAAATTTATAAAAAAAATATTAATAGGGATAAATAGACGTTGTTTCCTCCACTATCCTTACCTAACCATACCATATGCGATGTGTGGCTTATCACAACAAATAAACATAATATTTATGGGACTATATATGTGATTTAAATGTGAGATCGACTGGCTAGGATGGTGATGATAATATCAAACAATTATATAGGAAACTACTGCAGTTGGGGCATCAAAACAAGCTAGCACCCATATTCTCCTGGTTCACATAGGTTTTGCATCGATCTCCTTCTTCTTGATGAATGCCAGGGTTTTTACACAATATTTTTCTTATGAACAGATCACCTTTTAAGTAAGTACCTTACGGAAGTTTGATTAAGTATTTCCTCTTTGGTGGTAATTATTGCGAACATAAAGGTTGTCTAGGTACTCATTAGCAACTATCAGTTGTTATTGGCAGGAATTGACATCTGGTAGTAATAAATAACAATTATTAAGTATAATTAGCGATGTTTCAGTTATTATTAACGATTGTTGGTGATAATTGCAGATTATTAGTAACTGGTGATGATTTTGAACATTAAAGTTTGACTTTGTTGTGAAAAGTGAGTCTACCATGATGTCGACCAATGTATCACAATACATATGCACTATCAATGAAATAAATAGCTTTTCTAGTAGATGCACAATACCATTCAATAAACGAACATCAGTTCTCATTCACATATGGACGTTGTATATATGCATTGTCAAGCTTTGGGTGGATGGAGTTAATGAGAGGTCATTGGGATTTTTACAGTGTTTGGTTCGTGGGCGAGAAATCCGGCCATGGATAGGGTGTCCACCCAAGAAATATTCTTTAAAGATGTTTGATGAGTGTATCCAAATAATTTCATCCACCTTCGCTAACATTGATCATTAGTAACTAATTAGTGATAATTAGTATGTTTTATTGTTAGTGATTATGATTTCAAGATTAGTGCTGATTGGCAAGAGCATGACATTTAATTAGGATTATGCGGGGCGCAGGTATGAATAAATTTAGAAGACTAGCTTCTAATCAAGTGTAAAAACACCCGTTTGAAATGAGATTGGGAGAGATGACGTGTGGTGCCATCTGTGACGGGTGGTGGTTTTGACCATCACAGATGTCTGTGACAGGCCATCACTATAATCCATTAAAGATAATATAACACTTTGAAATATAAACCATGTGGGCACTCATTTTTACTGGTGATAAATACAACCGTAAAAAACGAGAAACCATTTCTAACGGATCTTTTTTTTACTTGCCACTGGCCAGTTTAACCACCATACCACCTTATCTTTCATCTCTAGTGAGACCACACACCGAGACCAAGCACCATATCCTTATCCTTCCAATTCTTCCATCTCCCTTTCCACAGAGACCCCACGCTTGATCACATCTAGTCAAACACAACAGTCCGCTCGTCATCAACTCCAGCGAGGGCATCGTCCTTTTCACCGATAGCCACCTCCTCCGCCCCCGAGCACCGGCTGCCATCTCATCGCCTCCTCGATTCTCCTGTTGCCATCGATCTTCGGCCACCGCTAGCTCTGCCATGGCCAGCGTCCATGGCAGCGTTGTTGGGCCGTGATAACCGTCCTATTCGCTCTCACTACCCTCCGCCCTGCCACCGACTCCTCTTCAAATTTGCCCCCCAAGTGTTGGTGGATCCTTCCTCCCGATTCTTCCATCTTCCTCTCCATGGAGACCCCACGTGTGATCACATCTCTTGCCCTAGTCAATCCACAATGCTCCGCTCACCACCAGCTCCACCGGGGATGCTGTCCTCGTCGCCGATAGCCACCTCCTCTGGCCCCAGCATTGGCTGCCATCTCATCGCCTCCTTGATTCACCGGTTGCCATCCATCTTCAGCCATCGCTAGCTCTGCTGCGGCCAACCTCCACGACAACATCCCGGGCCGAGATAACAGTCCTATTCGCTCTCACTGCCCTCCGCCCCGGACACTGTCTCCTCGCCTAATTTTCCCCATGTGTCGGCGGCCGCCTCCTCTGTTCCCATGTGTTGGTAGCTGCCTCATCCACCTTTAGTTCCCAAGCGCTGGTGGATTTGGTGGCGGTGGTGGAGTTGGTGGGCAGTTCTAGCCTCCACCTTAGGGATTGGCGGATTTCATCATGGTGGTGGAGTTCGTTGGCAATCCGGCCTCCCTGACCTCGAGGACCAGTGGATCTGGATAGCAGGGCGGTGGTGCTAGTGGCAGAGAGGGAGCACTGTGGCAGATAGCAGGTGGACGAGGTTGGGTACAACCACTGCGGCAAGGAAAATGCCTCCTCGTCCAAGTCCTCCGGCCCCTCCAAGTCCAACACCACCTCCTTCAAGTCTGCCGCCTCTTTTTCTCTCGCGAAACCTTCCGATGCCACCCTCCTCGCTGCTCTGCAGCTCACGTCCCACTTCTTCTTCACTTCTTTCGGGTGTTCTTTTTCCTAAAGAAAATTATTTGAGCCATTTGTTTGCAAAGATCTACCGGTAGGTAGCATGTGTGAATTAATTAAGAGTATATTTTTCATCTGTATCAGAGTAGAAATTTTTTAAGATTAGTAAGATTGAGTATTTGCATTATTGTTAATATTGAGATCATTTGCTATGTATAAACCTATATTCGGCTTTGTCGAAAGCTAGGGTTGGGGATCCATTTTGCTTTTTTAAAATTATTTTTCACATCTATGATGGGCCACAATATACCACCCGTTAGAGGTGTATGTTGCCACTAATGGGTGGTATACTCATCTATGACAGATGATAGCTCTTATCCATCACAAATGTCCATTACCACTAATAGGCTTTCACTCATCAGAGATGAGAGGTTGAGTTATTACTGACCTTTATCTGTGATGAGAGGCCTACCTATCACTCATAAGGGTTTAGACCAGTCACAGATGACCTGGTCCGGTACAGTGAATGCTAATAGCCTAAATGGTGGGGTAGTTAATATTTACTTGTTAGCACTAGTGTTCTCTTTCACACAAACACAAAAATTTCCAAATCTTACAATAATTGTCCCAAAATAACCTATGTAATCAGCTGAAATAATGGCTGAGGACACCAATGCAATCATATCACATCACGGATGTAGGTCCTACTGCACGCATCACATCACATATCGAGTTCTAAGGGCATGTTTCGTAAACTAAGTTACCATAACCCAAATTGTTAAAGGTGTTGACAAGCGATACAAAATGTGGCTAATAAAATATTACCAGGGTTTACCTCAGAATGAACATGTTTGTGAGAGCCAGCGAGTTAACATGTGTGACTTGACGAAGTTGGAAAAAAACGGTTGCCTAATAGAGTGTCACATCTAACATTCAGTGTGGAAAACTGTGGCTATGAACTAAACATGCCCTATTTTACAAGCTCCTATTATCTAAATAACGTCCTGATACAGAGAACCATATACTCTAGTTGATGCAGACACAGTAATTGTATATCTAGAAAGGTTTTTTTGTGTCCCTAGTTTATGACCCTAGCTATGATATATCAATATAGGAATGATAAGTTGTTTTTCTCTTATATTAAACCAAGAGTGATAAGCTGATTGATCAAAGAGATCTATCCATTGCTCGAATTAGCTTATATGCAAGATGTATGTGTTTTCTTCCAGAGCATCTACACACACAACACTTCCACTTAAACTTCACATGGCGTGATCATATCACCTATTGTTTTTAGTGCAAACTACCTATCAGATGCACTCCACTAAGCTGGGCGCACACTACTAAATCATCTGCTAACTACACGTAGTACAAACATAGGCTAATGGCAATGCATTGAGGTAATTATAGGCATTTTCTTAGCTGTTTGTGTGTGGTCCCTTTAGAGCAGCTGTTATATGTGGTGTTGTTTTGGGACAGCATTATGCTTTAAAACCTAATTCTTGGGGAAATACTCTTCAAATGCAATCATGAGTTAAATATGCCTGTATGCACTCAATACATTAAATTATACATGTTCCAAATCATCATATCACTTCAATTTTTCTTTTCGAAAACTATCAAATCACTACCTTCTTTATCTATCTAGTCTGCTGACGAATCCGGCTATCGATCGTGTTCATGCATGAACCCATTCTGCACGCTTACTTTTTACTTTTTAAGTGCTATAAATAACCATACAAACTCCCCGCAAAAAAAAAACCAGACAAACTACTGAAAATTAAACTATACTAATTTCATTTATTAAGCAGTAGACGGAAAAAACACAAGCCCGTTAATAAATAAAAAAGAAATAGGGCATACGGAGTAAAACAGAAAAATAATTATTACC